ACAGAAATAATTTTTAAAAAATAATAAAATTTAAAAATAAAATCAATAAAATAAAAAACTGAAAAATAAAATAAAATAAACTAAAAATAAAATAAAATGAAAAAAGGAAAATCTGCGATCGGGTCGGGTCAAAACGTGGGTCGGGGGCAGGTCAACGGGTCAGCGCACGATCTTGGGCTGCCAAAATGCTATTGTTTTGGGTCACTATATAAGCCACTCCTCTGTATTTTGGCCTCAAAAACTCTTGCTCTCTTTCTCTTTACAATCAAATCCTCTGACCTCTCTCTAGAATTCCCTAAGAACCTCACTGGAAACTTTAACTGAAAACTAGAAATCCCATTGGTTTTTGAAAAGTTATCAAAAAATTCAAGCAAAAACTGAAAAATCTATCGATTTTTGAAAAATTGACTGAAATATGGCCAGAAAATTCAACCTCCTATCGAAAAGTTCATTGAAAAATTAATGTTCTTCTTAAAAACCCAAAGTTTTTCAAAAAATCCCAGAAATCCCAAATTTTACCCAAATCTCCTCCGAAAACTCCCAAAAACCTAAACCTAATCCCATAAACTTAAATCTAAACCCATAAACTTCCCATCAAATTCTAGCAATCAAAATCCCAAATCCCAAATTCCAAAACCCAAGAATCCCAATAACCAAAACCCACACCTAGAATCTTTCCAAAGCTTTTCTTCCTCTTCCAATGATCATGCCTATTCCTTTGATTCTCGGTTCAATTTATAAGCATCTTTAGGAGGATTTTTAGGAAATGGATAGAATCAATCTAGGCTTGAATCTTAGGATTGGATTTTGCCCTAACCCAATTTTAGGTCTGGGTTTTTTTCTAAATTAAATCCAAAATCTTGTGTTATGCACATGCAAGTGAATGACAGATATAATAATCATATATTTAGGCAAATATAAATACTAAATAATATGGCAGACAAATAAACAATAATAAAGTAGATATAAACAATGAAAAGAAGTAATTTCAAATTTGTTAGACAATGCCTAGATAATAAGAAATCTTTTACTGGCTTGACTCTCTAAAATATTCCCAGCGAAATCGCCAAACTATCTTAACGTATAGATCCGTGGACCTATCGCTAGACTTGGAATAAGAGGAATCACCACCAATCTTTTTTTGGTTAGGTGTGATTGGTCACCTGATTGAAGTTAATTTGTAAAACAAAGGTTAAGTTCGGAAGTCGATTACGCATGAGAAAGGTTGTAACACCCCAAAAATACCTATCTGAGGGATGGCACCTGTTTGATTTCAAATTATCCAAGTCTTGCTCATTTTTATGATTTACCAGATTATTTGTGAATTTTATTAGAACAGTAAGCCTTTTCAAAATTTTTGTTCATTTATTTATTATTTTGAAAACATTATTTTCAAGAATTCTTTTTTTTTTGAAAATTTTTTTTTGAAACATATTTCTCAAAGAAAAGATATTAGTGGCAAAAGTATTTTTGTTTTTGTTTTTTTTTGGTTTGTTTGTTTAAAAAAAAACCAAAAAAATGGATTAGAAATAAAATAAAATCAAAAATGAAAATGAAAATGGAAAAAAGAAAAACTACAATCGGGTCGAATTAGGACTCGGGTCAGCACGCGGGTCTTCGGGTTGACATGCGGATCCTAGCTTACCAAAACGGTATCATTCCAGGCAACTATATAAGCTAATTCTAATGCTTTTACTTTAGACTTCCTTTTGCACTCTCTCTCTAGACCGAGAAGCTCTGCCTTCTCTTTAGAAATTTTTACTGAAAACTTCAACCAGGATCGAGAAATCTATCGATTTCTGAAAAAGTTATCGAAAAATTCAACCAAAAACTGGAAAACCATCAGTTTCAGGGAAGTTGATCAGAATGTGATAAAAAAATTCAACTGGTCATCAAAAACTTCATAAAAAAATTCATATTTTGCCGAAAAATTCAACCAAACCCAGAAAAATCCAAAAAAGTTTGAAAAAATTCCAAAAAAATCATGAAAAAATCCCAGATAATTCTAAAGCCTTCCCTAAACCTTTTACAACTTTAGAATCACCCTAAATCCTACCAAAATCCCGAATCAAACCAAAACTCCCAATTTTCGAATCCTAGAAACTTTTATTGTCAGATTGTTTTTCAGAACTTCCCCAATAATTTTCTTCATTTTTTCTATGTATCTCTCATGTGTTCTTGCTCTGTAAAATAGGTCTAATTTATAGGCAGCTTAGGATCAATTCAAGAAATTGATAGAATCAATCCCATGCTTGATTTTTGGGATTGCATTCTGTCCAAACAATATTTTAGGTCTAAAATTTCAGCAACATTAATTTGATTATGTGTTGACCCAAAAATATGGTGATCCTGATTTTCGTTCACGTGCAGATTGAATAGAAAAAGAAACAAAAAAATAAAAAAATAAAAAAAATAATAATAATAATGATGATGATGATAATGATAATAATAATAATAATAATAATAATAACAACAACAACAATAACAGAATCTAATTGGACCAAAATGAGCTATAATGGGCCTAGTTGGGCTTGACCAAAATGGGCCTAATTGGGCTCAGACCAAAATGGGTGTATAATTGGGCTTGGACCAAAATGGGCCCAGACTGAAATAGGTGTCTACACTCCTCAATGGACTCACCTAGATATCATAATGTATCAATTCGAAGACTCGACCACTAGATATAAAAATCAAGAGTCACCATCAATATTTTTTGTTTTGTTATGACTAATCACCAATATTATCTTTTAGTTTGCGAAATCATGATTGGGTTCAAGAGAACAGTTACATATGAGAAAAGTTATAACACTCTCATAACGTCTGTCTAAAGACGATACCAATTGATTATGTGTTATCCATTAAGCCTAGCAAAATTTCTTTAAAATATTTTCAAAGGAATTTAATTAGAAATTATTCTTAAATTACTCTAATATTTTAGCAAAAATTTAAGAATATTTTCTTACCTTAAAAATATTTAAAATATCTATTATCACTCTTAAAAAGATTATGTTGTCAAATTCAAAAACATTTTTTATTAGAATCTTTGATATTGTAAAATTTTTCAAATACCTTAATATTTTAGCAGCATTTAGAAAATAGTACCTCACCTAAAAATTTACGTAAAAATTTCTATAGCAACTTTCTAACAATTCCATCATTTAATGATTCAAAACAAAAAATTTTTATTTTTTAGTATTAGGAAAAATTGATATTTCAAGTTTTTCTTAAATTTTTTCAAAAATCATGCTAATGAAAATTTGATATTTCAACTTTTTCCTTAATATTTTATTTTATTTTTTATTTCCAATAATTAAGGAAAAGCTTATACCTTTTCCTTAAATATTTTCAAATTTTTCTTTGGAGGAAAATTTAATATTTTAACTTTTTCCTTAGCAATTTTAAAAACAAATTTTTCATTTTTTTATTTTTATTTTATTTTAAAAGTATTTAAAAAATAATGTTTTAACTTTTTCTTAAATCTATTTTTACATTTATTTTAAATATATTTCAAACAAAAAAATATTTTATTTTTCATACAAATTTTTCCTAAATATTTTTCACAATTATTTTGTTTTCAATATCAAAGTTCACATAAACATAAAATAAAAAATCACAAAAATAAAAATAAATATATTAAAAATTAAGTAAAAATAACAAAAATATCAAAAAAATAAAAAAATAAAGAATACCTCCAATCAATGTTGGTCAAACATGGCTTGGCTATATCTGTGGCTCAAATGCATGGTTTGAGGAAGAAACTGGCTCAAACTACTTGACTTTGCTTAGCTTAATTAGTTTAAAGGTTTGGGAAATAGGTCAAGCCGCATGGATCTTAAGTTGGGTGGTAAGTTGATGTGCGGATCCTCTATTGTAGAAACTACATTGTTTAGCTAAGCTTTAAATAACCCAAATCAATTATTTTCTATTTTTTCTTTTTTTATTCTTTCTCTTTTTTACTCAAATTCTTTTTCTCTTTAAGGGCCGACTAAAATCTTATCTTTAACCTAAAAATCAATGATGGTTCGTCGCACTAGCTGCTTTTTGCCTTCCATCAGTTACCCAAAAAACCTAGATTTTGGCTTAAACCTAAATTCCATCATTCAATCAGTCATTGAAAAATTGAAACTTTTCAGATTTCACCTATTGAAAATTTTAATTGATCGTTAAAAAATTCAAGCTTTCCAAATTCTGACGACTCCAAAAATTTTTCAAAAGATTTCTCAAAAAAATTCCTAAATGATCTCATCTTTCTAAACCCAATTTCCCAACTAATTTGTCCAAAAAAAAAATTTCCGAATGACTTAGATCAATGTTTTTGTTTTTGGTTTCTTTTAAGAAATTTTTTTTTCTGCTAGCTTCCTTCCCTTCAGGGATATGTTGATTTTTTATTATTTTTTGTTTAAGAGGCTATTTGATAGTAGTGAGGAATCGAAAGTACAAACAAAAAGAGTAATAATTATTTTGTTAAGTTCTCTTCATGAAAAAAATTTTTTTTTAGATATTGGATTTATAGGACTAAGTAGAATTTCAAATCTAAAAAAATCTAGGATTGAAAAAGACTTTGGTTGGTCATTGAAGAATTTTAGGTATCGTGATTTCTTCTGCAAAATTACGTGGATGTTAAGTTGGCAGGTGATGCATTAACTACATTGAGGATTTTAGGGAAAAGAAAAAAAAAAAGAAAAAAGATAATAATAAAAATAATTAAATTCTAGTTAAATTGAGCCTTTAAAGGATGGATTGAATTTGTATTTTTAACCCAAGATCAATTTTCAAATTCAATTAACATATTTGGATAAGCCCAAGTAAAATAAAAAATTAACTAAAATTTATTTTACGTTAACACTTAATTTTTTCAAATAAAATGAGTGTTTTAAGTTAACTGAATAAATTTTAAAAATGACATTGAGGTTGTGTCTTGTTAATTTAGGTTAAATGAGTTTGTTCATTATATGTACACAAATATGTTCATGAACATATCAAACATGTTCAAGAATAATTCAAAACATATTGTGTTTGTCATTATAGTATTAATCTCACTATTACAATAATTAATCTCTTCATTATGTTGTTTTCAATCTAACTTAAACCAATCTCATTACTTATGCAAATAGATCATGACTCATTGACGCCGACGTAAGACGAACCAAATTCTACTAGTTTAGTCAAAGAGAGACCAAACAAAATTTGGAAAATTTGTCAACCATGACAAAGTAAACCATTTAAACGACCAGCAAATGGAGCGACCACACCCTAAGCGCGAACATACAACACAAATTTGAGGAGACAAATTGCCCAACGGGCCATTCTCCTAGTTATACAACTAATTCATATTCTTAGTTGCTGAAATGGGAGAAAAAAATGGCCTGATTTAAGCCTATTCTAACAACCAACAAACATAGGAGCAACTATAGATTCTAAACTAAAATGCTGAACATTGAATTAGAGATCAATGACCCAAAGGGAAGCATTCCTAATGTGCACAGAACTCTTCTTATCCTAGTTGAAAGAGGAGAACAAACGGCCATCTAGAAGCCAGAAGAAAAAAAGAAATGGCAAATCCTTTCCTCCAGGTTTCCTAATCAAAAGCAACCTTCACTTTCTACTACTTGTTCCAACTCTTGGCTTGCCTTTAACTTCAGATTCCTGTATTCCAAAAGACATTACCAGTTACATTCATGAATGAAAATTTCTTATTACGGCGTTTCCAATAAAAGCTTAATGAATACAATGATAAGTATGAAATCATGCATGTCAATCTACCTGTGGCAAGTGCAGGAAAATGTAGGTCTTTGCCATTGAAGGGTTGTGATTTTCTGCACCCTTACTCCAGTCATCACAAACCTATAGCAAATTCAATGTGAGAATCACAATACGAATTTTTTCCAGTTCAAAGAGAAAATCAGCATTGATATGAAGTGAATACCGAGTACGCAAATATTGACCCATCATTGTTGAAAGTACTGCAAGGTATGGGTTGACTGCACCTTGACATGGCCTGAAAATCAGAAAAAGATATATAACTAAACCAGAAAATAACACAGATGATCTTGCTACTGGAGCTAGAATTGTCAAGTCCAGAACACTTCCAATTTATTTTAAAAAATGACAAACAATTTAATGGTTATACTCTTATCATTTGACAAAATTGATCTCAGAAAAGATAAAAATTGTTGAAGGGTTTCTTGAATTTTCAATGCCAAATGCACAATGGTGCCAATGTCAGTGACATGCTGGTAGCAGCTGCCACAGCCAGCAATATCAACCTCCAGGCTTCAATGATCCGTACCACCTTTCTAATAGATCCACTTTCACCAATCTAACTCTGTTGAGGAATTCTATTCTCTGTTTGGTTTTCCAAAACCAGCAATTTTTACAAATTTTAGATCTTATTCATACAAGTAGAAGATAAGGAAGGCTAATTGCCCAAAAAAAAGAAGCAACAGTTTTGTCTCATAAATGATCTTATTGTTTTTTACATTGAACAACGGATTCTAAGAATACCTTTAGTCTCTGTTTGCTATCCTTGTCCCAAAAATTAAAAGCACCATCAGACCCTGCAGTGGCAAAAGTATGATGTATCTGAAACAACAAACAGCTGCATGAGATCATGTGCCATAGAAGATTTACCTCCCTAAAAAGGTTAAAAAATAATATCTACCCAGCATAGATGCTGTGAAACAAATATTGAAGAACTCAATATGAAGATGAATAGGCAACAAAGGAACTTACAGGATGGAAGTTTAAGGAGTTGACTGAATATATCTCATTGCCATCCCTGTGGCATTTGAAGGTAAAGTTTTTACTCTGTTGTCCATCATCAAGGTGGTGTACGCCAACCCTTCCCTCAATTGAACCAACCTGTAAAGTAAAAATGGCACCGCCAATAATTGCAATGACGCCAATTCATTACAGCTTGCACAAAAAAAAAAAAACATATATATATATATATGCAAATAGATAGAAAACCAGACAGGTAACTCTGGCCGATTCAAGTTAGAGTCAGTAATAACATTCAAGTATCAACCAAAAAAAAAAACAAAGAATTCAAAACAGATAAAAGTAAAAAGACCTCAAAAATTGCAGGCTACACGTTCAACAAAAAGAAAGAAAAAGAGAAAAGGGAGAAATTGACCATCCCAAAGAACAAAACAATCTAAAAAAGAAAAAATGAGGCAGAAATAGGGGGAAACAATTCATATTATGACTCAGAAATACATAAACAGAAGCACTAGGAAAAGAGGCTTCTAGAGTACGTAATAGACAGAATAAAGTGATGCATCTCAACGTTGTTTCTCCATTTGGCCAAAATGTTGGGCCAATATGCAAAAGGATATTTAAAAAAAAAAAAGAAAGAAAGGTCACATTGTCAAAAATTGCAGCTGAAAGAAGGAAATGCCCATACCAAGAAACCTTGCTGGTCAGGGAAGGCAGCAACACATCTTGTCTGATACTTCAGGGGTGAGATGACTCTCTTGTATTCAGTCTGTTCTAGCAATTTTATTAGTCAGGAACATGTGAGAGAAAAGAGTAAGCCAACAATTAACAGAAATAATTCCTCAATTAATCAGTTAGCAATTGTACTAAGTCATTATGTCCAAGCATTCATATACAGTAGAAAACAGCATTAGTATAGACTACTTACACTAGGATAAGAAGTAAAAAAAAAGACAATGAGTGCATCTTCAACTCAATTATTTCTAATTCATAGAGCGCTTCCACCACTTTTATAAACAATAATATTCCATACTACCATATTTAATGCTAGTTATGCAAAACATAACATCAAAACTAAAGCAAGATGAGAATGGTGGGTCAATCTTACAAGATAGAGGGGGTTGGGGAGCCTTAATTAGCTGAAAGCGAAAGACAGCGAGAGATTTGAAAATAGTGAAGAAGCTTAATCTATAACTCAAGTTATAAGAAAACATTACCTGAGGATTTTGCAAGTTAAAAACTATTAGATTTCTCTCTGCAGTGCCAACAACCATCAATGGATATTTCACTGTGAATGCATAGCAGCGATCAGAAAGTTGTTGAGTATGCACTGGATTTGACTGCCTCGTATCCCAATACCTAAATATAAAGGTGAAAAACCAGTAGTTGACTAAAAACCACAGGAATGTAATAGTCTCAAATTGCCGAAATTGATAGATAAAGTAAAAGAGAAATTGCAAGTGAATGACCAAACTATAACACAAGAAATGTGTAAGAATGTGCATGTAAACAAATAATAGACGAGATAATTATGTTGTAAATAAAAGTCCAACTTTAGCATTAAAAAGGATGCTTAAAAATATACATGAATGTTAATCTGAGTTTGCATTTATATTGTTTGTATGTGGAGAGAGTTCCTCCCTAAAGTTACAGATTATTTCATAGCCCCTCTCCCACATGTGCCCACAATATCAGAGCTCAATTTATCATACTATAATAGTACAAATATCCAGCATGCAAGCCACAACACCTCCTACACCAAGTGAAAAGATAGTGTTATCCAATTAAAAAGTATCTTGTGACTACCACACGATCATACTTCTTGTGAATTGAACATGGAACTTTCTAGAACTGCAGGCACTAGACCACTTAGCAGGAAGGTGAGGATCTCCTCACATGAAATGCAGAACTCACAACATGATTCTAATTACTAGGACCCAATATCAAAAAAACATGACTTCAGCTTTCTCAATGTTACAAAATTGAGGAAATATGAGAATATTACTTTAATGTCTTGTCCCAGCTTCCTGTGACTAACAGGTTCATTTCTGAGATCCAAGCAACCTCTTTAATAGGGGCATCATGCATGGCAACCGTTATTGGTTGACCACCAGATAATAAAGGCCACATCTTGACCTGCTTGTCACAGCCTCCGGAAAAGACAGTTGTTCCATCATCCTTCCAAGTTGAGCACAAAACCTTTTACAAGGGGAAGAAGAAAACAACATTAGTTTACCGCAACTACAAATTGAAGAGTAGAATAATATGTCTATAAATAAAATGAATGCTGACTTATTACCGGCTGATCATGATTAATTGATGCCTTTGGCGTACTAGCAACAACTGTACCATTCCTCGATATTTCCCAACATCTTACCTGCAAAATCATTCAAAAGGAAACCACAACAAACTTCAGCGAACCTAACAAAATGCAAAGGAAGCAACAGGGAAAGAAACTTCAATTCTTAAATTTCAATAATTCATTTTCTTACCAGAACTTAAGAACTTAAAGAACAAAATTGAGATAAAACATAAATCAATAAATGAAAAAAAAAGCAAATTAAGCAGACCTGATTATCCCATGAAGTGGCAATTAAGAAATTGGCCTTGGGACTGAAACTAAGGCTCGAAACAGAATCACTGGGCGGTTGCGCAACCTACAATTAAAAATTGCACATAAAATCCCCTAAACCAAAAGTTCAACCAAGCTCAAATTTTTTGCAATTATAGTAACATCTTTAATCACTAAAATTGGTCCCTGCCTATATTTATCTCAAAATAATTCCAAAAAAGGAGGAAAGCATCAGTGTATGGCAGTATCACTAGTCTCAATATTCCAATATTAATTTAACCAAATACATCTTGGTATAAACCTTAGTGTGAGGCTAAGAATAAAAGTCTTATTTTTATTTTCCTTTCCTCAATAACATCAAACAATTTATCCAAATAATAATTAAAAAAATCAGTAACAAGAAAAAATTCTACGTAAAATAAAAAGACATATAAAACAGCTCAATAGTAAAAGCATCAGCAAAATTTAGTTCAAAAAAATCATAATACAAAAAATAAAAATAAAACGAAAAAAGTGAATCTTATTAAGTATTTTATACAAATTAAAAAGCGAATACCTCAAATGATTTATTAGGGTTATGATTAGCAGCGGCAGCACCGAAAGTAGACATAACGAAACTCCAAAATTAAACGCCAACAGCCGTGGTCTGTTATAGAGCGGTGGACTCTTAGTTCAAGATGAACTCCTGACAATCTCAAAATATAAAAAATAATTGATAGAAAAAAAACCTAAAAGATTGAGATTATAGAGTTTCGCATCGCATTGTAAATAAAAAAAATGATTGAGTAAAATAATAAAAAAATAAAACAGGGAGAAAAGAAAAAGTGCCTTTTGCTTTTGAAAGGAGAGCGAAAACTTAATGGAGGAGGGAAAAAAAGTAGTCGGAAGAAGGTTTTGTATAGGCGAGAGAGACTGAGAGCGTTGGTTGTGCTGGGAAGCGGTGTAGGTTAAAGGAAAGGACTAGGCCCAAAAGTATTAACTTGGCGGCCCAGTCCGGCCCGGCCCTAAGTTGTAAAATTGAAAGCAACCTGACTGACATGGCGGAAAAATAAATTTATAGAATCAGAATTCAGAACCCCTCAATGCTTCACTGTCTAAACAGTAAATACCAAAACCCACCCCATGAAAACTTTCCCTCCCATTCCTCTCTCACTCCTTTCAATTCAACCATTTTCCCTCTTGTTTTTACTTCTCCAGCTTGTCATTGAAGTGATCGAACCCCGAAGGATTTAAAACTGCCACTGAAGCCAACCCCCACTCTCTAATCATGGCTTCCGCTTCTTTGTTCCCGACTTCAGGTAATTCCCACACTCTTTCTTTATTTTTTAAAATGTATTTGGGATGTAAACTTGGAATTATTCCAATCAATTCCTACACTTTAGCATGAATCAATTGTTGAGGGGTTTTAGTTAACTATTCTGCTTGGATTCGATAAAAAGTTTTTCTTTCCTTTTCGTTTCGTGCTTTAGCGTTCAAAGTTTCGTTTTATTTGGTGTTCTTGAGTTCAATTTGCCATTAAGTTTCTTGGTCTTGTCTGTTTGATCCCCAGTTTTTGTTTGTTAAGAAGTTCTCTATAAGTTTTAACTATAGATCTACAAAGGTTGAAGGTTTTTATTTTTATTTTTTGGAGAAATTGGAGAGATGAAAATGTGGATGGGCATCAGCGTGTTCATATCTTTACGTTTGAACCGAATTTTGTTCCCCAATAGAGTCTCATTCAGGTTCTGCAAGGATTAGTATTTATGGAATGATTTAAATATAATTGTTTGCTTAGGCTAGTTGGTCAACATGGGTGCTTTTTTTTCTTTTAAATTTTGTTCTTTGCATGTTTGAACTAATTGGAGATGCGAGTTACTTTACGTGAAATTACTCAATGTCCAAATTTCAGTTGCAGGGACTTGGAGTGAAATTCGTGGTACAGCAAGTGATATTTCTAGAAGTGGGAGGGGCCTTGATGTGGAACATTGTGATTTACAGATTACATCACTATACAAGAAGAGAAGGATATCTGCAACTACTGATTTTTTCTTGCATGGTGTTTCGAGAAAATTTGAGGAATCTTTACCTACTTTGCATTCCCCTGATTATTATGTGGAACCTTGCTTGAAAGATATGGCAACATTGGAACTCTTGGATCCTGGTTACTGCAGCAGAGTTGCGGATTTTGTGGTTGGAAGATTTGGTTATGGGCGTGTAAAATTCTTTGGGAAAACTGATGTTAGATAGTTGGATTTAAATCACATTGTGAAGTTTGATAGGTATACGGTAACTGTATATGAACATGAAAGTAATAAGCCCATGGTTGGTCAAGGCCTTAAAAAGACTGCCGAAGTAACTTTGAGACTTCAAATTAAAAGTTTAGACTTGGAAAAGCAGGAGGTAGATGGCATTGTTAAGAAATTAAGAGAGAGTATGAGGAAGCAAGGGGCACAATTCATTGCATTTGACCTTGCAAATGGTAAATGGAAATTCTTGGTTGACCATTTCAGCAGATTTGGATTGAGCGAAGATGAGGAGGAAGATATTATATTGGATGATGCAATAGGGGTTTTCCAAGATCCTGGGGAAATGAATGGTGATGGGAATTCTGAGATTGATGGAGATACGCTAATGGATACTAATGGACCGGTGCTTTCTCATTCTCTGCCTTCACATCTTGGGCTGGACCCAGTGAAGATGAAAGAAATGAGAAGGTTGATGTTTGCTGTTGAGGAAGAAGAGAAGCTTAAGGATTTTAGAGGGGCAGTTTCTAATCAGAAACAACCCTTTGTCTAGGAATTATAAGACTCCTTTGCATAACTCTGATCAGAGGCTGATCCATAGGTCTAGCCCTGCAGTTGTGTGGAAAACCCCAGTTGCTTTGCTTGAGTATATTTTGGTGCTTTTGATTCAAAATCATCTGGATCAATTCTGATGACAGAGAAAATAAGGGCATGCCTCTAAAGACGATAAAAAAGGAAGGCCTCAAGCTGGACCTCAAACAAGAGACAACAGTCACTGGAAGCCATTCTGGCAACATAGTTGATGCAGCATTGTTCATGGGTAGGTCATTTCGTGTAGGTTGGGGCCCAAATGAAATTCTTGTCCACTCAGGTGCACCTGTAGGTAGTAATGATGCCAGGATAGTATTATCTTCTGTAATCAATATAGAGAAAGTGGCAATTGATAAAGTAGTTAGAGATGAAAATAACAAAGTAAAGAAAGAACTTGTTGACTTTGCTTTTGATGCTCCATCGAATCTTCACAAAGCTCTAAATTATGAAGAAAAAGAAGTGTAAGTTGGATTCTTTCAGTAGAAGCTTCTAAAGGTTGTCTCCAATCACATGGAGCTTTCAGAGATTTGTAGGAGTTATAAAGACATTATTGAGAGGCAGTTGGAGGTTCCTGGTCTATCTTCTTCTGCTTGCTTGGTTTTGATACATCAAGTAATGGTTTGGGAATTGATAGAAGTTCTTTTTTCGGGAAAGGAAAATACTGGTTAACTGAAATCTATGGGTGCTGATAGCGAGGAAGATGTGATGCAGGATATCAAGGAAGGTCCTCCAGAAGTTGACCTGGAACACTTCCTCTTTTATTAGGAGGGCAGAGTTTAGTTGTTGGCTGCAAGAAAGCGTTTGTCACCATGTACAAGAGGAAGTAAGCTCTGTAAATGATTCAGGTTACTTGGAACACGTATTCTTTCTCTTGACCAGGTGACAACTGGATGCAGCTGTGGAGCTGGCTGCTTCTAAAGGAGATGTGAGACTGGCTTGTTTACTAAGCCAGGCTGGTGGATCAACAGTTAATCGTTCTGATGTTGCACAGCAGCTTGATATTTGGAGAATTAATGGACTGAACTTCAATTTCATTGAGAAGGACAGGATTCAGCTTTATGAGTTGCTTGCTGGTAACATTCATGGTGCTTTGCATCGTATTAAGATTGAGTGGAAGAGATTCTTAGGATTGTTAATGTGGTATCACCTACCTCCAAATACTGCATTGTCTGTCTGTTCCAAACTTATCAGCACTTTCTTGATGAGGAAAAAGCTCCATTTCCTGTTCCAATTTACATTGATGAAGGACCAGTAGAAGAGAATGCAAATTGGAATAGAGTGGAAAGATTTGATCTTTCTTACTATCTTCTGTTTCTGCATGCCAGTGAAGAGAGTCAATTATGCTCTCTGAAGACGATGCTTAGCATCTTCTCTTCAACACATGATCCACTTGACTACCATATGATCTGGCATCAGCAGGCTATCTTGGAAGCTGTTGGTGTTATCCATTCTAATGATCTTCAATCTCTTGATGTGGGACTTGTATCCCAGTTGCTTTGCCAGGGGCAGTGTCATTGGGCTATCTATGTAGCCCTTCACATGCCCTACTTTGATGATTATCCTTACCTTGAAGCTATTCTTATCCGGGAAATTTTGTTCCAACATTGTGAATCTTGGAGTTAGCAAGAATCACAATGCCAATTTATTCAGGACTTGGGAGTTCCATTGCAATGGTTGCATGAAGCTAAGGTATGATGTTTGTTTTCTAGATGTATTTGTTTTAACTTTGTTTATCTGAAGCCTTTGTTTTTAACTTCTTGTTGGTCTGAACAAAGTGGTATTCTATGTTAACATTTAACGCTTTGCTGGCATATTAGATGCTCTATGTAGGTTATATCCATCATTAATTTTAGATTCTTTGTGTAGTGGCAGAATATCAGCACCCTGGTTGGGTGGAATCTTTAATCTCATCTTTTCTTTCTTTTTTTCTTTTTGTTTTTTTGGAGATGGACTCTTATTAGAATTACTATCAATCTTGATTTATCCTGCTGTATGCTCATCTCTCTATCTCTGTGCATGTGTGGATGTACAGTGAGAAAGCGAGAATGATAGAGAGAGCTCTGAAAACTTCTTTGGAACTTGAGTGTTGTTTCTCGTTGTGAAAATTTTCCCCTTATGATGCAGGCAGTTTATTTCAATTACCATGGTGATTTGCTAAAGGCTCTTGAGCACTTTCTGGGATGTTTAAATTGGCAAAAAGCTCTTTCTATTTTCGTAGCTTCAGTAGCTCATGAATTGTTGTTGTCTGGTAAGATCTTATTGTAGATTAAGTAATTCATATGTGCCTTCTGAGTTTTATTATTCTGTTATATCATTTTTATGCCCTGTTGATGTGACTTTAAACCAAATTCAAGGCCCATCCCTTCCCCCCTTTTCTCTTCTTCAGTAAAAATGTAACATGACATCATAGAATCACCTCCAAATCTTTTTTCTCAATACAAGTTACCTCTTCACACCAAAAAATATTCCTTTAGTCTACAACATGTATAAAAAGGAAGTTAGATATTACTAAAAAAATGTATATTTGAAAGGGAAAAGTGCAATATTTTTGAAAAACTTGAGAATTATAATCGAGCTATACAATTCATTCTATGAATTATCTCTTCATATCTATGTATTTTAGACCATACGTTCCATTTCCATGCATGGATGAATCTTATCACATGGGAGGTGGATGGCTCCCTCAATTTGCACTATTTCGAGACTTAGAGTCAAGTAGATTTTTTTTTTTTTGGCCAAAGAGTCATGTAGATTATAGATGCGGATTTCATCTACTTTTTTCAATCAAACTTAGTTATTTAAATTTGTCTCAAAAACCAATCTATGCTTGATTTTTTTTTCCTAGGATATTCATACTAGTTCAAAGAATATAAATGCACAATTTGGGTCATTGAAGAACTGATTAGTCTCAATTCTTAGTCACATTCAGCATTGTTGGCCCAAGTCTTTTATTTTTTTCTCAATGCAGCCAATCACTCAGAGATATGGAGGATTGCAACGCCCACGGAGGACCACAAGTCAGAAATTGAAAATTGGGACTTGGGAGCTGGAATTTATATTTCATTCTATACTAAGAAGTTCCTTGCAGGAGGATAACAATTCAATGGGTGAACTGGTAAGAAACT